TACTTGACCGCTACTTGACCGCTACTTGACCGCTACTTGACCGCTACTTGACCGGTACTTGACCGCTACTTGACCGATACTTGACCGATACTTGACCGATACTTCATCGATACTTCACCGATACTTCACCGGCAGTTGATCGCTACATATCGGCCGATGCATCGGCCGACAGTCGGTCGATATATCGGTTGACCATCGGTCGACTATCGGTCGACAATCGGTCGACTATCGGTCGACTATCGACCGATAGTCGGTCGATTGTCGACCGATAGTCGACCGATAGTCGACCGACAGTCGACCGATATATCGGTCGACTGTTGCCCGATATGTCGACCGAGTCCACCTATAGTACACATGATCCCTCTGGTCTAGCTTCCTCCATAGGTATCAATCAGTAATGGTTTACTTGAACACTTAGTTTTCCTGTTATTATGTGCCAATTTTTTCTGTCATGTAACTCCTAACATCACATGTTGGGAGTTAGTGAATACTCATATCATTTTAATGTAATGTACATTCCTAGTATACCCCTTATGTCTTTTAGCATCTGGTGACTGAACTGGGGTGCTATCAACCTATTAAGGTAAAATAGATTATCGATCCATGAACAAATGTATCATTAATAAATGTTTGTTATATGCATGCACAACCTAACTCTAACAACATTTGGGATTCCTCCAACCACAATGCCAATGTTATAAGGAAAAATTCAATGGTTAAGAAAGAACACGAAACACTCATGATATTTCAATAAGCTAAAGACACACCTGTTGAGAAACAGATGAAGTTGATTTCAATGCCAAATCACCTTCAATTTGCCTGACAATGCTGGAGAAAAAATGAGGAGAAATGAGAATGGGAACAGTGGACCTCTAATAAGTCCTGATAACTTAAAGAAAACTAGAAACAGTCAACTTATTATAGTAAATCACTGAGAAAAATATTTAAGGTAAAGAGAGTAGGAAGCTCCAGCTTATGAGGTTATACTGCATTGTATATTAGGGGAATAGATTTAATGTTTGGCAACAAAAATGGTTTTATAGTTTATTAACTTGTCCTACATACCTTCTGCTTCTTTTACAGGTCCCAACCATTTCTATTTCAGTAATGGTACTGCCATCCCGTAAAGCAAAAATTTTGATGTTGTAAGGTTATTTAATCTGGGTTGAGAACATTATTATGCACTCTCTTGGGGGAAGAGGGGGCACATGGGATAGTCACTAAGGCTAGTTATTCACATTCCTAATTTTCATAGTAGTGAAGATTCATTAACTGCACTGTTGCTTTACCTTTTAATGCTCTCTTATATAATTTTTCACAGCTACAATACGTTACATGTCCATAACTCATAGTTATTACACTGGCATGCTAATTAAGTGAGAAATAATTCGAGCTACACCCACAAAAGACAACTTGGGTTTATTTTACAATTTTTTAAAAGCTCCATCAACAGTTTCAATAGACAGTCCCCTCCTGGAATACTCTGTTTCTTGTATCTATTTCTCAATTGTTTTTTTTTACCATGCTCTAACCTTTTTTCTTTTAATTTATTTCTATTTATTAGTGATTTCACAGTCTACATTAGTTTTTCATATCATCATAACATTTACTATGCTTAAGTGTATTTTACATGAATTATATACTAGCCAGTGAATCCTGTCAATTAAAATAATCCAAAAGAAAACAAATTGCATGAACATGGACATGTAATAGCTTAAATATGTGGCTATTTTTTGGAATAAACACTTTCAACACATTGAAAAGCTTGTTACCTGATTGAAATGATCTTGTTTCACAATCGACATTGACCTAAAAACATACAGGCATGTCGTAAACAAGAGAAATTTACATCAATTTATGAACATTTTTTGGACTATCCATACTGTTATAATCCATAAGCTTTACCTAGAGTCCAATTAACAACACTGCAAAAGATTTGAATTTAACTTATGTTTGCAATGTGACACAAACAGTAATAAGATTTCTCAAAGGTAGCATACCTTTGGTTAAGAGAACACTCTTGTAAACGTAATTGTAAAGCTTTATGAAGATCGTGATCATCTTTCCAAGGTCCATTGATCCTGGTCTACAAATTAAAAAGCATAATTTTTTGGATTAATTTTCTCCCCTTTGTTGACTTACAGTCATTAAGGATCTGTCATTAATCCTTACCCCAGTACTAAAGCAAATATTAAATCATATGAATTAAGAATTTTGTGTTTGATGAAGTACTTTGAGGTTCATAACTTTTTATAATTCATAATTCATAATTATTTTAATTCAGATTAAGGGCCTGTTTATACAGAGGTAGGGGACCCCAGGTAGGTGAGGTAACCTGCCTGTCCATATAATTTCTTAATTTATTTTGATCACGTTTACATGATAGGTGGGGTGACCCGCAAAGGCAGGTTGCCTGGTCTGCTAGGTAGGGTAACCCTGTCAGCCGGGGTGACAATTTGCATGTACCCCACGTGGGGTAACCCGCCTAGCTGGGGTCGCGTTCATGGCAAGAAGCTCAAAAGCGAAACATGTATGTTTTTAAACTTTTTACATTTCCTAGCCGTCTCATGGCAGAAAACACCAGAAACCGCAACGGACACACAAGGAGTGTAAAATGTTTACATTTCGGAATATCTGGCGTTGTAGATCGACGATATTCGGTTTCCCTGACTATTCCGTGTGACGTATTCAGTCAACGGTTTCTCGCGAAACCAAACACCGCGTAACACAGCGCGTGACGCTTTCATGAATAAATACGTATGTGTCCGAGAATTAATCTTTCGTCTTTTTCGACATGTGAGCTTGGGACGCCTCTGCTCATACTCCTTAATTGCAAGCGCAACAACAACCTCAAGAAACCTCACCTCAGCACCCCGGGGTTGTAAGATTGCATGTAAACGCGTTTTATTTTTCGACCACGGCTAGGTGGGTTACTTCACCTACCTGGGGTCCTCCACCTCCATGTAAACAGGCCCTTAGAATAGCCCAGTTTAAACGGAATTAGAACGAAACATCTCCTCACGCTTGTCACCTTTCCATTTTTTCCAGTATTATCATAGGTTTAGCGTCACTAGTAAAATTTGAAAGCTATAAAGAGTAATTTTTGTACCTTTCGTCGGATTCTTCACATGTACTTTTCTCCGGTTCCCACTCACTTTCCAGCTGAAATGAAAGAAACATACATTTACGGACAACAGTTTCCCTGAGGTAAACATCAGAATCGAAACTAGCAAGGATAAGGCACGGATGTTAAAGGATCAAGAAAAAAAAACACAGTTACTTACCAGGAAAGTCTTCCATAATTGCCAACGACGTCTTTTAACAGTCTCAAGACCCCCAGCGTTGAAACTACCCTGTGCTTGGAGCCCATCAATGGGCCCCGAGTCCCCGAGTCCCCGAGTCCCCGAGTCCACTTCTCAGTCCACCCGTGCCCGTCCCACTTTAAGTCACAGCCCTGTCACAGCCACTACTGTTGTGACTAAAAGTGGGACGGGGACGTGGGGACTGGGAGGAGGGGACTGGGAAGTGGAGACTGAGACTCGGGGACGTGGGACGCGGGACGCGATGAATCGGGGACGTGGGACTCTGAGACGTGGGACTCGGAGACGTGGGACTCGGAGACGTGGGACTCGGAGACGTGGGACTCGGAGACGTGGGGCTCGGAGACGTGGGACTCGGAGACGTGGGACTCGGAGACGTGGGACTCGGGGACGTGGGACGCGGGGACGCGTGGAGACTCGGGAAAGTGATAAACAAACCTGACTTTTGCGCTGAATTTGTAAAGTATTATTTTCGGTGGCCTAAGGTGTGATATGCTGGAGAGCTTGTCAGTAGTAGCCGATGGTTTTCAGCGCCCGTGGTTCGGCCGGACATGTTTGCTTGCCTATTTGACCTATTTGCTCTGGGTACAGAATTCGTACAAACAAGCTCTCCAGCATATAATATAGCTTTCTCGAAACGACCGAAATTATACTCTACAAATTCAGCGCAAATATCAGGTGTTGTTTGTTTATCACGTCCCCGAGTCCCCGAGTCACCGAGTCCCACGTCCCCGAGTCCCACGTCCTCGAGTCCCAGTTAAAATTTTGTCTTTGTCTCCCGCTCGTGACAGGATGAAAGAAAACTTTATTTCATTTCACTAGCTCAACATTGCGTATCAATATTGGTACGAAACGTCATAACAATAGTGGAGACTATTGCGTCCAGTCACAAAAATAACTCAGTCTGATTTTCTAAAATAATAACATTAAACAGTTTTTGAAGAAGAACGAAGAAACTACTCATATTACAAGTCGTTCGTAAAGCCTATGATAAGAAAAAATTTTTCTATTCTGAGCTATTGGAACTCTAAGCTTATTTTCAGATGAAAATCAACATTAATGTCAACGTGAATGAAAGTGATCCTCGCAGTAATGTACACTAGTGAAAATAAGGCCTGAAAAAAATTCAGGCCTGTACGGGATTTGAACCCATGACCTCTTCGATACCAGTGAAGCGCTCTACCAACTGAGTGCTGGTCATGGTGTTGTTTCTAAATAAACCCGTGAAGTGATGAATAAACGGTTAAGAATATATGAAAGTCATATATAGAACATTCCCATCGAACTCAATCTTATTTTCTAATTTTAACGATTATTAAAATAACACCTTAACAATTACGAAGACGTCTAGAGTCTGGCAATCTGCAGACAATGCAGAGCCACTCGCCCTCCGGGGCAGTTTTAAATCCCTCGCAGCTCATGTGTAACCTTTCCTCGCACAACTCGCACTGTACCATGTCGTCCCAACACTCTGGCATTGAACAATGACAAAATAAATTAGTGTCACAAGTTTGTCTCTTATTGAATCTAGCGGTGTTCGACTATCGCGGAAAAGGTTCAAAAACGACCTCACTCCAGACATTAAACTAAATTCTTGCCCATTTTCCTTTGGTCAAAGGACATCCGGCGGGAAACCAGTTCGTATGCATTAACGATACGCATGTTTTGAATTAAAAACATACTTTCGTACGCACTGGAACGTAAAGTATCATCTATTTTTACTAGAACGTTAAGGATGCCGCTAGCGGATTTGGACCGGGGCTTCCATATCCGCTAGCGGATTTGGACCGGGGGGACCGGGGGATCCAAATCCGCTGGGACACCGGCCTTTTCAAGGACAGAAAACCTGGGCTTGACATTGAGTTTGTTAAATTATCGTTCGCACGTGCACCATTTCAATCTGTTATTTTACAGCCTATTACAAAATAACCTCAGTCTTATATATTTTATTTGTAAGTGATTGGAACATTTACTGTCGCAGTTCCCATGTTTTGAGCGCGGATATTTGTGTCTTTCGGCGCACGCTGACGTCTTGCAAGCGTCTGTGCTACTGGTAAGCGCACGGAACAGACTGAACTATCTTGCTCAGACCTCTTTTGTTCTTAACAACACGTTCGTATGGCTTAATACAGCTTACTTGTTTGAGCTGGTGGACTTACAACCAAGCAAAAAAAGTAGAGGCTGATAAAAATGAATCCTATTAGAGTAAAAATCTCGACCCGCAAGTAAAATTTGCAGATCAGCCGGAACTAATGAGTAAAGGAACAAATAAGAATAGGCTAAATATCAAAATGGCGGATTAAGTTTTAAAAGGGCACCTGTTTCACCAGGATAGTCTAGCCAGTGATTGGACGCACCTCACATAGTTTACATATGTTAGTCAAAGTTTAAGTATTTGTCTTATTTTTCACCTCATTTCTGTTTACGAGACCTTAAATCGAGGAAATAGTTGTTTTTTATGGTTCCTTGAGTGACTGCAAGCTTGAGGATTACAGTGGTACGGTAACTATCAATTTTCTTGTTGGTGAAGCTGTGTCATTGGCTTTTTTGAAGAGTTCCATCGTTAAAAGCTGAAGGAGGTCCTTGGGGATCTCGACAGATCTTTCCTAATTAGACTTATAAAGATATTTTTAAATCCCGGAATTTTGAATGAATAAACGATTGGATTCATGGCGGAATTACAATAGTGCAACAGTTTGGTAAATAGAATCACTTTAAACGATATTTTCTTGCGTTTTCGATCTGACTGAAAAAAATAAACAGTGTTTATACAAAAAAATGGCAACCATGTAACAGCGAAAACTATTATTACAATAAGAAGAGACAGGGCAATCTTGACGTCATAATGCTGTCTCTTAAGTGTCTTCCTTGATCCTATTCTTACAAGCTTTCTTTCTTTTGCTTTTTGCCACATTCCAAGATACATGAAGCACTTTGCAAAAAATGCTACAGTAAAGGAAACACAGAACAGAATAAAGAAAGCCCTTTGGATGTTGTAGTTACTGTATCTGAAGGAGTGAATGAAGGATAGTGTACCAGCAGTTACCCAGCAGATCACTAAAACTCCCACTTTAGATGAATTTCTGTGACTCACTGGGTACGCGATAGCATAAAAACACTCCAGACTTATTGACATCAGATGGTATATAGACGCAAAACCTCCAAATACATCCACTACATGATAAATAACGCTCAACACCATAGGGATGTGAAGATGTCTCTGGTACAGGAGCATCATACTCATATACAGTGGGACTGCGATTAAACCCACTAGTAGATCAGCGGTTGCTAGTCCAACTATAATGAAGTTTGTGCGCGTATGTAATGATAAGTTTCGAATGAACGCTAGAATGACGGTTGAATTTCCAAATATGGCCATGACTGCTAATGTTCCAAATGCGACTCCCCAGGCCATTATAGAGAAAGAGGTTATGTTTTTAGGCAATGGCGATGTCTCATTGACAGCTGTGGTGTTGTTCATTGTCTTCGTAAACTTAAAATTGTTTATAAAGTTTTGCTAATGATGAAAATATTCTTATTGTGATATCGGTATACCTTCACATAACTTGTTTAGATTTTATGCCCAGCCTACGTCTACGGTAAAAAAAACTGATGCACTGGCATGAAAAATGTAAACATTCAACGCCCGTAAAGCCAATGAAAAAATTCCGTCGACTATATCAGTATTCTTTTTACAGTGGTAACCCATCGATGTTACTGAATATAATATCTAAACAAGCCATGTAAAACATTGATTCTGAGTATCGAGACGTCAAAAGGGAAGGAGTCTTCTTATTTTCATACCACTGTGGGGATTGATAGGACATACGCTTTGGAATGATGAAGATTTTTTTTCATTGAGACTCAATATGTAAAAACGTTACCAACATATTTCCTCCGACAATTGGTAACTTCCATATGAACCCTTCAAAATATTTAATTGCTTGGTATTAGTGTTCATGATCATTTGTTTGAAACAGCCAGTTTCCAAATATACCCTCTTGCGCGCAAGAATTGCATTGAACCAACATCCATGTTCATTGTAAAAACTGTCTTGAGCAAATATTTAAACTAAAGGAAACTTGGAGAACCTCGGAAATCCTTTTGCCTTTGGAAAAAATGAAGTCATATATTCTCATCTACATATTCTCAGCATGCTGGCAAAACAACAAGGTCGCCTCGAACTGTCAAACTGTTCTCTTCCTTTTTTATATTAAGTGCAAAACAGACGAGTTGCTTCTCAGGCTCAAACCTGCGAGGAGTGTTCGGCGGGTATCAAAATCATGCATTTCACTCACATTTAAGAGGTAGTTGGCACCTCAGATTAGAAATACATCGAAAAATACCTCGCTTGACTTAGAACTAGATGTTAGCTATCAGTAGGGAAATCTTATAATAAAATTTTGAATTCCAGATTTGAAAAAGAACACATAGATATGTCAGAACTGAAATTCAGACCAACACTGTTGGTGGGTGCCATCAAATATATTCTACAAATCACGACCATGTTTTTCTATGGGCTGTCGGCGTACATTACGAGAGGATAAAGAAACGGTGGATATTTCATTATTATTAGCTTAATATCTTATCAAAAGATTTCAGATTTTCACGAAATAAATTTTCCAGCAACGGTTAAAAGGAAAATGGCAAAAAATGTTTTCTTCTATAAGCCAGCGATGATTATGAACTGAGAAAAATCGAGTCAGTCGAGTGAAGATAGTCCATGCAAAGCCAGCTGACAATTAAATAACAGGCAAAATATTACGAATTAGCAAGTCTTCCATCACTAAGCCTTGAAATGGAAATTGCCATTCATTACAAGAAAGATTGAAGTTACATTCAAAGCGTTTTATTCTTTTTTCCTATCTTTTCTTTGTTTTTCATTTTTTTTTTTTTGCGCCTGTAGCTGTTAGTTGCGCTCTTAGTTTGCCGGGCGGATAGTTTGATATTCTTCTCTCTCCGTCAGGGTAAAACACCAACCATATCAGCTGTTTCACATGTATTTGCTATGAAATATAACTCGGAACTCCAATCAAATATTTTGAAAGCAATTGAGGCAACACGTAGGAGCTAAAGTGTTAGTGGGACATACTTGGAGACATCCCAATCAGTTGGTAGAATACTTGACGGCCAAATTAAATACAAAGTGATTTTGCACTTATATCTCAGTAAGGCACCAAAAGTGATGTATAGGTAAGGAATGGGTTTAACTTTGCAATGACGCATTTTTTAATGAGCCGTTAGTGAGGAGCTTTTCATTATATATGTTGGAAAAAGCTTACTTTAATTTAAAGCAGTCAGTTTCTTAATCTTAATTAAAAGCTGCATATTTGCCGGGCATATGTGAGATTCGTTTTAAATTAGTAAGCTCGCAGTCTTCACAACAGAAAGAATTGAGTAAATACATTAGCGGGTGATAAATTCGATTGGGCAATGGGTTGATAATTATAACCACGTTTTGACGTATTGCGCTACCTGTGTAACATGCCGACATTATACGCACAGTTTTAAGGGCTGTGATTCATTAAAGAAGACATTTCTGAAGTGACAATACACTTTGTACATTTGAATATGTCAACAGAACACAAACAAATTTCCAGGGTTAAATCTGTGGAATTAAAATTGATTTTGACCCCAACAAAATATGATGAAAATTATACCATAACGGGGAACTTCTAGAGGAACTGATTTTTGATACAAGACAATCGTAGAGTTTTCCTCTGTCTTATTACTGGCCGAACTTTGGAATACTCGAAGAAAGGCTCGGGATTAGTTAGTGGGTCTTGAATGCCGCAAATACGAAATCAGGACGCTTTTTCGTTTTGAAGCGGCGCTCTCTGAGTTATGGAACTGATGCATGAAAAGTCAAGAATTGTCAACTCAAAAGTTTGTGACTAAAGTTGGTAAAAAAGGTGACTTTCCAGATTACCATCGTCGCTTTCTATAAGTCTGACTCGTCTCACGTCAAATAGAGTCATATTGCTATTTGTAATCTTTAGGGAAACGGTTCTTAGGTATGAAAGTTAACATGAATGGAATATGCTAGTCTAATTAAATCAAGAATCAAATTGCAGCAAAATGACATGACAAAGATTTTCTTCATAAAGGCTTAGAAACTTAAAACATAAGCCGCGTTGGAGCAAGGTCCTATACTTGAGGTAAAGCGAAGTAGTTCGTATCGAGAGGAAAACTTTAAGGGGGTGGGGCCAGACTTATGCGGGGACCTTTCTAGCTCTGGATTTAAAGCACAAGTTTGGAAACATGGCCCAATATTCAGCAAGTGTGGACACAGGAGTCAAGCGTTCAGTTCAAGGCTGCACTGAGAAACAGATTCAAATGGTGATTAAATTGATAAACATACTCGATTTAAAACCATGTTTGTCGCGGGTTACGCAAGAATTATAGTAGAAGCAATGGAATAATAATTGAGGAGACCTCTGCCTGCTCACAAACAATATACTCAGTTATCCAGTGCCAATTGGCGTCACTTTCCAATGAGGGGTTCTTTGGCGGGTTTGTTGGACAACTTGTTTGAGAGAAAATCGATCAAAATTCCGTACAGAGAAAAACATGATCATGTATTACTGTAGTGATGTAATCATACGCAGGTTGAACAAGGACAGAGGTACAGCTAAAATGGGAAATGGTTATATCATGAAGGAAAATTCCAACTACTCTCGATTCTAATGATGATTTCGGTTGAAAACATTATTCACAACCCCCATGATAATATGGTAAACCATGATTTTTCAATTTTAAATTCAAAACTAAATGTCTTATCACAACTTTTGTTCGTTTTGCTCCCTCTCTAGATCGATAAAGCCACTTCGAGATGAAAAGAGCCGAGACCTCGTAGTGATCGGCCTGCATTCAATGACATTGTTTCTCTTCACTCACAATTTCACAATACTTTCAAGAATTGCATATGACAACGGGAAATCACATTGATATTGGAAAAAATTTAAAATCCGCCTAAACACAAGATTTTCACTTAAAGCAGAAGGAATCAATCAAAACAATTGTAACGACCAGAGTTCACACATGTAGCACTGTATCAAAGAAACCGACATATATATTGCCTAACAGGACTAATTAAAGATACGCGCGGAACAAACAAACGTGTTATTCCAGTACTTCATAAGAAGGTATCAATGTGCAAAATCTGACTCCAGCCCGTACACAAGGAGGTTTTTTCTTTTTTTCTAGAAATTATTCGTTACCGTTAAAGATTACAAATATATTTAATTAGAAAGCTTTCCATTCAGCCGATATCATCAGTTATAATTATTGGAGAAACTTGAAGTTTGGCATAAAAAGCAGCCAGGGTTAAATCTATCTGACCAATAGTTCATTGTGACCAATTCAGAGTCGAAGGGAAAGTCAGTTCAAGGTCTTTCAAACAAACGTTTGTTTATACGCTATTCATAAAATGTGAACTGCTTGCTGGACTTAGTTTAACCTTGGTAGAGGTGAGATGTTGGAATGATTCTTCCTAATTGAGCGATCTCAGAATAAAAAAGGTTCAGTAAGAAGTTTTAGAATCCTATCTAAAAGAACTAGAAATTACATTCAGATCTCGGGTTAAGGGAAAGAATGTTAAAGGTTATACCTAGAGAGCGGACCTACCTTACCAAAGAAGCTACAGATGGACGGAAACAGGTCGCGTTCAGTTCGCGTTAGACACAATTTGAACGAAGAGAATATCGATTGCGAGTCTCAACAACTCCCCAAGACCTCGATATCATGACGTAAATGTGTCAAAAAGACTTTGGGTTTCACGTGACGTCACAAAATCTAAAAAACTACAAACATAGGTTTGCCCATAAGGCAAAAGACCTTCAAGTTGCGCTTTTGATCAGTTTTCAGTGTAGTGTATATTCTATTAATAAATACCTACTTTCTCCCCTTTCCTTCCACCCTGAAATTAGGTTCAGGAGAAAAAAGACTGTCCCTGAGCAACTGTCCTTGGTATTTTCGAGTTTTTTATCGTTTTCAACACATGCACCTTACAACATACCTTTTCTTTCATTAGTGATGTACGTGACAGGCTCAACAGTTTACGAAACACGCTATCGTTTCTTCTTCTGTTTTATGAAATCGTGCTTGTGCAAATATTTTGCAAGAAACATTCAAGGAATTAACATTTTTCAATTTTTGTTTTCTTCTTCAAGTCAGTTTCTTACAAGAAAAATAGAAAATGTCAAATCATCTTTGAACGTGCGATATGAGCGTGTTTTGATAACTAAAAGGCTCTCCTTGTTATAGTAATGCGCGATTAAGTAACAGTCCCATAAAAGTTTTGCGTTTGTCTCTGAGGGCTCCAACAAAAACCAAACAAAGTAACAGTCATCGTTCCTTGTAGAACTCGAAAACTGAAACGCAATTTTGGAAAACAGCGCTAAGCGATTGAGCAGTCAATCCATTACATAGTACATCTATCCTTCGAAGATCGAGCTCAATCGGTCTCAATTCGTGAATTGAATTTGATCGAATTCGGGCTATATAAAGTCTATAAAACTAGATCGAGCATTGAAACTGTCGCACTCAAACGGCCTCAATTCGTGGATTGAATTTGATCAAATTCGGGTCATAAAGTCTATAAAACTAAATCGAGCATCAGTGAACCTATTGCACTTAATCGGCATGCAAATCGAACTCAATCCATAAGATTGTGTTTGATTAAGTTTGGCTATCAAAGAAAATATTTTATCACACTGTTATTAATTCTGGTACATGTAATCATTCAGTGTAGACTCAGTAATAGTAACTGAAAAGTCCTCCTAGAATTAATCTGGCTTCAAAGTTTTTAACACATTACTCAAAGGAATGACAAGGAAATGACTTTGATCTGACCATCGGGACAAGTGTAAAATCATAATACTTGAGTGAGTGAATATGTGCTGAAGTTTTTCATTATGTCAGTGCTCATGATGATATTTAAATTTTCTTAATATTGCGATGGTTATGTATCCAAGGAGCACCTGCTCGCTTTCCATGAAAGCTATTGTGAAACTTTTCAATTAACATGGTATGACTGGTATCGGATGTGATTTTCTGAACTTGGTGGCGAAGACAGTTGACTATTCCTACAATATCGTTATGTTTGCACTGTTTTGTAAAACCGAATGGAGGATTCTAGCTATAATCTTCAATTACATACTCATCAAAAGACCATTTTTGAGAAAATTTCAAACGGAGGAAGGATACTTAAATAATATGTCAAGTTCTACTCCACCTGTACTTGAAAAAAAACTAGCCAGTCAGTTATTCTGATTAAAAAAATTGTGTCATAGACAGATATTGAAACTTCAATACCTAATTACCACCTTCTTGAGTGGTAATTAAACAAATCGCGAGCTCATTGCTGAACATTGAGAGAAATAAACTTGAGAAAACTGAAATTTACAAACAGACACACCGAAAAAAGAAGCATAACGTTCGGTAATTTCTTCACTTTTGACCGAAGATCTAACAGAACTAAACCACATAAATCACACCCAGATTTAGCCTGAAAAAGCAATTTATGGTTACTTTTTCTTCTGTGCCTCAGGGTGAAATTGAACTTTTGATGTGTCAAATGTGACCAAAATAATCTGAATAGAGTGATTTAGAGATAGAGGAAAGGAAAAAAAAACAATTATTTGTTGAGAAGAGCTCGAACATCTTTGATTGACAACGGTTGGCGATAGGTTCTTGTTCAACATTTTAATGAGCTTTTCTTCAGTTGTCTCCAGCTGGGTTTTGATGATTTCTCTGACTTGCCAAGGTGAACACAGTTCAGTAAAGCATTCATCGGTTCAATTAGATCGATGCAAAATTTAACTGAAACATACCCTAGCCAACTTAAAAAAGCCTCAACGACGGATGACAAGGATGTAATCAGATGTGGACATTAAAAATGACGACGCCTATCTGACTCTGATATCAGTTCAATGTATCATTTGTCCAAGAAGAAACAAAAAAAAATCGTTCGCTTTTGATCAGAATCCGCCATTTATCAACAAGGCAAGCGCAGTTGGTTTTCGAGTGGCTTGGCGGAAATTTTGTATCTTATTTCTCATAAAAGATGGGAGATTACTTAAAAAAAGCGACTGAAATGTTAAATTGCGAACTTTTTGTGCTGTTTCCATTGAATACAGATGTTGATAAATCGTCGCCACTCCCCTCTTAAAATCTCTTACAATGAAATCTTCTACCATCACTTACTATTACCTTTATATAAGTCAGAAATCTTAAGATTTTTGCTGAGCTGTGGTCAATCTAACATTGTGAAAGCGGTGCCTCAAACCAAAACGGAGTGGAAATTTACCAAACTGTAAACGTGTAACTCACTGAAGAATAAAACTGAGGCAGTGGCTGATGTAAGCTATTCATATTTGTTGTTTTTTCTCAACAGAGGATGGTCTATCTGATTACTCTTTATGATTGCTTATTTCATGACAGAGGGTCTCCAATAGGTTTTTCGGGATCCGGGATTGGGTTTATTTAAAGACCGGGATCCGGGAATTTAAAGTAGGAACGGAGCGAGATGCGGGATTGCTAATATGAACAGGACACGGGAATCGGCGATTTTAAGGAGCAGGATTCAGGAAGTAATCACTTAAACGAACCGAGAACCGGGATGTCCATTGACATATATGAAGAAATTGATCTTCTCAGTCACGAAAAGCACCAGGTATACAGGCTCTCTAGCATTCAAGAGGCGGTCGGGCTGCTCAGCGACACTCTTTAGTTATTACGCGGGGATGAAAATTATATCAGAAGCGAAGTTGCCAATTTATCAAAAATCCTCAATGGCCCACAGACTAACGGCGTCTTATACTTAACGGCATTAAAAAAACCTCCAGCAAGTCTCAGAATTATACCGATATGATGCTGTTAACCTGTTGAGTTACATGACATCAGAGGTGAAGAATATTCACTCGGTTGTGCATCACAAAGATAAACTTTTCACGGTGTTAGACTACCTAAGTAACTCTGTAGCCAAAGAAGACAACCTTTCATGAAGACAACCTATTGGGCGGTGTACTATTTAACAAATCCACATTCTTGGTATCCTGTACCTGAACGTGCCAGGATCATGTCGGCCATACCAGCAATTAAACCGTTACCACCTGTGCCGATGGCACGACAGGGCATACAGAAGACGAGGGAGTGGGCGTAAGCATTCATTGCAGCAGTGCGTCAGTTCTCTGTCAGACAGGAAACAACGATGGCAAGAGCTGGAACTTCCCGTCATACCTCTATCAGAGAGAAATTCAGCCGGTCGAACCGGTCGGCCTCGAACGCTCTGACTTCGAGGAGCAGCAAGAAAACAGCGGGAAACAAGACGAAAAGGAAGATGGAACATTGGAGTACCATTCCCCGAATGATGATGATGACATTCTATCTTTGGAACGAGAGGCTGATTTTTACCTCGGAAGAGGTTTCCGCTTCGGAAGGAGTATTCGCTTCAACAGCAGAATCGTGTTCGGTTAATTTTTTTTTATCACCGTTGTTAAGGAACTATGGGATTGCCGTGACCTTTTGTGTTTTATACACTTGTTGAAATTGTCATTCGTTTCTTTGATACTGACCTACCTGTACCTATACGTTTGTAAGTTTAATGAAAGGAGGCCGTTACCGTTATTAGGGCAAAATTTGAAAACTTCTTAAATGAAAAATATCATCATTTTGGTGAAAAGAGATAAACTCACGCCCTACAGTGACAATAGACTACAACGGATCAATGCTGATTAAGAAAATCATCACCCACCGGAAAGAACCTTCTAAGTTTAGGAAATGGGCTAAGTCAAAATTGTATGATCGGGATCGGGATTGGCCAGTATGAGCCGTCGGGATTATGGGATTGAGAGAAAATTTTAGTCGGGATCGCGGGATCGAAGAACCCTAACTAGAAACCCTCATGACAGGATGTCAAATTGCAAACTGTGAGCTGCAGGCAGGGCTTTGAAAAAATGGCGTAACACGGAGAGGATTGTCGAATGTTATTCCACTAACCCAGCTGGCTTGGTTTCCATTCTTAAAATTAATAGGCTATGAAGTATATCGTGAATTTATTTTTCGTTAATGTCTTTGTTGTCACAGCATGTCAAATTAATATAGAACTGGTACTTATGGAACGTTCTCCTCCTCCGTTGTAATAGTCCGAGAGAGATTGGTATTAGAATATGTGACGTAGTATCATGTGACGAAGCAATCGAATGTTCCCGCCATTTTGTTATAATTAGTGTTTTGATGTTTCCGTGTGGAAAAAATGGAGGCTGGAGTGCTTGAGGATGAAGTTGTGTCGATGGTAGACGTTCTGGATGAAGATAACGAACTAGAGGAGGAAGCAAGAGCTGTTTTAGGGGACAGCGACGACAAAAACTGCACTTACCTTTCCGTAAGTTCTGTTTGTGTGATCAAAGCTAAGGTTTGTGATTTTTGGGTGCGATAGGTCTCCCTCTGATAGAGTAAATACAGAGGTTTACAAAACCTTTGACAAAATATCAAAATATCGGCCTCTATGATACTATTTCCTTCGCGTTGAGATCAAAGTCAGTGGAAAGTTTTCTGGGATAACCTGATATATTTTTAGACCACACATGTAGTATGAAAGCTGACATCTATTGATCGTGGCCAATTCAACACTCTAAAAAAGAAAGGTGAATTCTATGGGATGTTTTCAACTTTTACAGCGTTAAAGAAAATTTTGTTGTTCATTAAGGGTATTTTAATGGTAATTGAACTGAGTAGAGCGATTTGGTCCTTCCAAGCTCTTCGGTATTCCTTCGGTCCACTAAATCTCCTTTCCAACTCAACATTTAGATAAAGGTTGGTTAAATGCAAGAAGATTTAATTTTCAACGCGATTTACAAAATATGGCTAAACACTTCTCTAGTAAATCGAAAAGCTCGTGTATGCTTAAATCGTGGTGATACAAACAAGTGCTAATAAACTTAAAAGCACACGGTTACATTTTGCTCTGAAGTTTTTTTAATTCACCGTGTTTTCAATACATCCTCAGAAATAAAAGATTAATTTTTTTTGGAAATTTCTATCAGTCTGAATTCTACTTCTTTAACTAGAAGGTTTCAAAAATGCAATTTTTGACCTTAGAAATGGGGAGTCAACTTGTACACGGGTAAATACGGCAGTATACATACATGTATATCCCTATTATTTGCAGGGGTACGTGAAGAGGCAAGCTCTCTATGCCTGTTCAACATGTTCTCCACCAGATAAAGAGCCCGCTGGAATATGTCTGGCTTGTACCTTGGCTTGTCACGATGGACATGTTCTGTATGAGCTCTACACCAAAAGGTAGTCAGTAAAATTTACCATAACATTCCTCACAGAATATTTATACATTAAAGGTTCTCAGTGAGAATCTGAGTTCGTGTAGATGGCAAAATTGATGAAGGAAGCAGGGGATGGATAACTTGTTCAGTAAGCATGACCTCTGAGGGGGGTCTAGATACATGAGAAATTCCTTGTAAAATTCCTGAAATTCCTTCCTTCTTCCAGCTAAGCAACAAGAGATTATTGTACTTTCAGAAGTTAGTTGTTACTTGGCATAAAAAAAATATACAGGTAATAATTATTTTTAATAAATGAGTAAATCGAATGACAATAACAATCAACCTACTGATATACCCTGAACTTTTTCAGAAATTTTCAGTGTGACTGTGGAAATAAGAAGTTTGGTGGGTTCAAGTGCAAGTTGTACTCAGTAAGTTGTTGACAGCTGATGCACTTCTGGTGTAACCACACCTTGAACATCTAATCTTACTAGGCATTGAAAGGCATGCACATGCTGAAGTCTCAAAATTCCATGATGTCACAAAAGTGCAAAAAAAGGAAATTAGTGTTTTTCTAGTGTTTCCTTAAAGGCTTTGGTTGAAATTTGCAATTTGCATTTTACACAGCTATGTAAATAGGCAGAAAATTTATGAGTTTTTTTTCAGTCTATGATGCACTCATATGACCTAAAAAGAAATCCTGGGTGCATGATTATTGTTAACTTTCACTGCAATTGCCAGGAACACAAAACCTAATGTTAAACAAATAGTTTGTTCAAAGCTCTTCATCCATCAGAAGTTGCATATATTTTAGCTACTTTAGAGAGCCACTTTGATTAGGTGTGTTAAGAAGTTTTACATATCTGCAAGAAAAGGGAGACAAAATTTAACCCTAAAAAATGCCTTACTGCTATTCAGGTAGTGCTTGATTGCACTTGAGAAGCCCACCATCCGCAATTTTGCAAGACACTCAATTTAAAGAAGCAAACAAAACCCAAGTCAACTATTTGAAAACTCTGGGCAAAGTAAATGTATTTCGTTAACCATGTGATGAGTCATTTATTCATAATTTTGTTTAGATCATTTTGTATTAATCATTGCCATTTTGAGAAGCCTGTTTTATCAAACAAACTTAATGTTATGCCATAACATCTCAAACATGTGAAAGGAAATTTTTAATGATATGCACTACTGCCTGAAACCATAGGAAGATTGCTCTTGTGTTTGGTTTGTGAACAGTGATGAAATGATGGCTTTTTGTCACGGCTGCAAACAAACAAAGCAAAAGACAAAGCCCAGACAGAAAGGGAGCAAATTACTGGGAGTTTGTGCTCTAATGGTTATTTTGCAGAATAACACATTTACACATGTGTCTTGTGATTGATTGTTAGGTCTTACTTGTTGTTCACATTCTTATTATTCAAGGAAAAAGGACCAGAGAATTCTATGAACAAATACAATCAAAATTTCAGAGGAGTTTACTGCACCTGTCACAGACCATATCCTGATCTGGAGGATGAGGTACAACTTTATACTTGGGTTTACTCATGCTGATATTCCAGAAATAGGATCTATTTGAGATAAGCATTTTAGGAATTGTCCTGTAAGCTTTATGTACTAGGTCACTGACTCAGTTTGCTTATAGAGGGTTTTTAAAGATGTATGTGTTGAAGGGGTACATAGTATGTTTTTCTATTTTTCTCCAACCTTCTTCCTGCACTAACACTACAGGGTGGATACTTTATTTGGAGCAACATACCTATACTCATGAGAGATAAGACACTATTAGTACCTTAGGTCTTTGATTCCAAATGAATACATGTAACCCAAATTTTTTTGATATGATGTCTGATGGAATTTATGATTCTTTTTTTTTTTCTTTTTTTGTTTTCTTTCAAAAACCCTTGTAACACCAGTGTAAAGGTTTTGATTTTTTCTTAATTAGTTTAAAATTTCTTTTGATATATGTCAATTACAGATTGAAGATGAAATGATTCAATGTATCATTTGTGAGGACTGGTACCACTCAAGGGTGAGTGACACAGAGAGTCCCTCAATCTAAAAAATTTGCTGTTCCTACAGAGGAAATTATCCTGAAAAATGAAACTCACTCGTTCAGCATTTGACATGACAAAAATTAGTATATTATTAGCACAAACTATTTCCCATCATAAATTTTAGTCATGCCAAACCAAGAATTTTTTTAGGGAAACTGAAAACCTATTATTTGATACACCCAAGCAGAGGTCAGGGTTGAAATTATGGAGAGGTTTGAATGTCTTTGACCAGTGAAACAATAGGCTCCAGTATCCATTCCTTGGATACTGGAAGCACATGGGACCTCTAAGTTGGGTGAATGATGACTTAGATATCTTATGGTAAGGGAATAGTCTAGTTCTGTACTTTCACTTCTAATTTTAGAGTGTTTCACATCTGTGTTGTTTTTCAGCACTTGGGAAGCCTTCCACCAACAGGAGGTGAATTTCAAGAGATGGTATGCGATGATTGTATGACAAAATGCAGCTTCCTTCAAGCTTATATCTCTCTCTCAGGTGAATTGTAGCCACTGATTGTTTTTATTCCTGTTTTATCTTTTTGGCTTAGTGGCTTACCTAACAACGCATTTGACATTAGAAATAAATAATAAAATCAGGTTTATAATTATAGTTTAGAAGTGATTTAAATGCCTTTCAGTTAAAGGCTTTAGTATTCTTTTCTCAGTCAGAGCAGAAAATGTGTCTGGTGATGTGACCATTCCTCATATGCCATTGCATACGCGTATACACACATGACAAGAATTGATTTGCACTCAGTGAATTAATATGACCATAATGCTGAGTAGCATTTCTTAACTTCCTGATATGATGATAGTGCCACAACAGCAGTCTTCAATTGGCCCCAATCAACAAGTGGATATTAAGCAGGAAACAAAAAGTAAACTTGATATCAAAAAGCTAAGTGACTCAGGTAGAGGAGACAAATTGGTGAGTGAGAAAGGATATCATGATTCCATGGGCAGTGGCGAAAGAAGTGGCCATCAGGATTGCTCCAGGCTGGTAAGAGAGTTTATCGCAGTCGAATTATCCTGATTTCACTACTGTTCAGTACTACATATAAAAACCACATTCTTGTTCATAGTTTGGGTTAAAATCCAGAATGCAACTTCCATATCAAACCATCTTCAAATGTTTTGATAACTAGATAAGAAGACCCATTGAGGTTATGATACAGTAATTGAACCATGTAGACATACTGATCTTGATCCATTGAGGCAATAGAAAAAATTGCATTGAAAGAATGAAGGTGGAATTTTTAAACATAATTGTTTCTAAGCAAGCTCAATGAGTACTAGTCAATCCTTGCTCTAGACATAGCTTGAGAGTGACACTTGCAGCTATTTAAGTGAAACCTGGATAATCATTCTCTGCAAGAAAAATTTAATTGGCAGCACTTTTTTTTCAGGGAATATGACAGACACTTTTTTTTCAACACTTGTATTGCAAACGTTGACGTAGTGTTACTTCACCCATCCTCAATACAAAGCTATAATTTGATCAGTAGCACAGACTGAAGGTTCTGGTCTATAGTGTTGCATTCGAGTGTGCATTAAAACTTGTCTTCCTTGTGTTCCATTTTGTGTGAGTCACCAACAAGTCAGATGAGAGGAAAAACAACTCTTATTTTGAACTATTAGAATCAATGTTTGTCAATTTTTCCATGTTTGAAAATCAACTTTCACAGTGATTTACCTATCATTTTACATTTAACCCTTTACATCCTAACATTAGTATACATATTCTCCTCACTCTTCTTTGTACATTTTCTAAGGTGGTGACAAGGAGAATTTGTTTGCCAATCAAAGGGTTCCTTCCCTGGTGTCCACTTCCTTTATTCTTATGACCTTAATGTGGAATTCAGGAGTGATATTGCAGGAAGAAATTAGATGTTAGCCACTCTTAGGGTTTAATGGGTTAAGAGACAGTTGATCTGAATTGTGGAAAATACAGTTGCCTAACGTTGTACATTGTCTAGTGACAAGTGAGAACACAACCATTTCTGTAACATGTTTTCTGGGCTAAAGGGACTAGAATAATCAATAGATATCCCTGTACTGCCAATCTTCTAATAAAATTATGATCCAACAGAGAACGTAAAAACTGTGCTTGGTATTCTCCAGAAGATTCTGGTTTAGAAATTCTCTTGACACTAATTTCTTTGGAGGGGTTAGAAAATACAGATTTTGAACGGTAGAAAGTTCAGGAGTGTTCTTTTAAGGGAGGTTAGGTGTCCTTCTTTTCAGTGGAGGTGTCTGTTACGATATAATTAACTGCATAACTACTTTAGTTCTCTCTTTCAGAGTATCATCTTGTTAGATTCAGATATTTAAGGTATATAGTAAAACTCTTGGCAATAAATGTATTTTCAATGTTGAATCAGTGATTAATTCTTATTCTTTGTTGTAGGATACATCCCAAACACCTCACTCTGATTCTCAAAAGCCAAATTGCTCAGGCAAATCAGACATAGTAACGACTGTGGGAAAAGCGAAAAAATTTGCTGCAGATGACTGTAATGCCTCAAAACTTGAAAACTCTACGGCAGATTGCAAGCTTTTTCAGCTTCAAGCAAGTGTGACAACAGTCGAAAACAGAGCAACCTATTGGCATACTGGGTGGCGGTCTAACTTATGCAAGTGTGATAAGTGTGTGGTAAGGATGTTATTGAATGAAATAATTCTACACTCTAGCTGTCAAAATTCACAGTTTTTTTACTTGGCAAATTAGAGTATGACAATTTAGCTTATAGTCCCTTTATAGATCATTGGATGTATTGTATCTGACTGATGAATCTGACACAATGGTTGCCTATGAGCAGAGAGGCAGGGAGAAGATATCCAGTGTTTCATCATATGAGAGTGGCATGCAGGCGCTACAGAACATGGCGCGTATTCCGCAAGTGGAGGTCATGCATGGTGTGTGGATAAAAATCTTGAATTGAAATTAAGTAGTACAACTATATTATGATGTTTTATTATTATTATTATATGTACCAGCAATGATGTATTCAATGCAAACCTCAATGCGATTGAGAGTGGTAAGACCAAAATTAAAATTAATTTTAAATACCACGCTAGACTATAGTTCCACGAGTATAATTATTCTTTCAAAAAGTGTACGTGTTGTCGCGGTTCGTTTACTACCATTTTCTAACTACTATGAACATCCTGGCTGCGTACTGACATGCTTGAAAACTTAAAGATTGTCTTGACAAAACGTCACGTTTTACCACCGACTCAAATTGTAAAATATGATCGGCCAAAAAATTCGCAAGATCACTTCCATCTCCGGTCACCGAAATAATGGAAGATTTTACCACAAACGTGAACCTGCCCCTTGCTGTTGACTTTCATTGCATATAATTGATCGACATTTTTAAAACCTGTTTCAAGTGTAAAAACGCATAGCGCGGTCAAAACTGGACACATGTGAAAATGCGAGGGCTTCGGGGTCTTCGTTTGTCACGTTTTCCGTGTCTCGCCGTCTTCATTTTCGCGGCCTCTTTTATTACTTCTCATATGGGTGTCTGTTTCATACAGGTTTTGCTTTATACCTAATAATACTGTAAACCAAGTGCTGTGATATTCAATATCTATGCTGCTTGGGTTTGCTTTCAGGGTTCTCAGTAGAATTTTGTACAGCCGTTGCTTTGTTAGTTACAGGCGTAACCCTAATATACACGCCCTTTGGGTGTGTAACTTGGGCCTGTAGGGCCCAAGCTGCTAGGGGGGTCCGGGGGCATGCTCCCCCGGGAAATTTTTTATTTAAGATGCTCAGAAATGCTTTTTCCTTCATTTTGGGGGCATATTTTCTCATTTTCTCCAAACAAGTTTAAGTACATTTTGTAATCTGTTCAGTGGCTTTGAACTACGGAAAGTTGAAATTATCTCTTATCAAACTGAAAACTACACTGCAATATTCAATGAAACATTAACCTGCAATAACAATGCTTTGCTTTCTGAGTTAATGGCATTCATTTTATACAAAAATATTTATAAGATAACCAGTCCTCTCCAAATGGGGGCACCCACTTACAAAAACTAATTCTCAAGGCCACACTGACCCAGTAACTGCTATATATCTAAATGAGAAAGAGTATAAGATAGCGCAAATATTTGTTAATGAATGAATCGGCCATGTTTTTGCACGTGGAAAGACGACATCTGCGAGAGGCCTGGGTTCAAATTTACAAATTCAATATGGCGGCCATATTCAACGTTGCGGAGACGTGAAGCGATTGTTCGGTTATTCTATGGTCTGCAAAAAGGCTATTCACCTTGACAACTAAAACCGAAGAAAGGTACATTGCGAAAGCAACTAACAGTCAATAGTTTACCCAGCAATTTACTCAAAAAGCCGTTCTTTTATTTGCATTTGATAGACGAATTGATCTACTGGTTGAAGCACTTTGACAGCCGTAACACTTACCTGTGACACCCGTGACAGGTGTTACGGGTTACGGGTTCAACTGAGAACCCTGGCTTTACTGCACTTTTCTTTTAGTCAAGATAACTTGCACTATCCTTCAAACCAATGAGACGTAATACTTACTACGAAACACTTCTCGATCTCTCTAGTTTCAGGACGTTCAAGGCAGTTTCCCGTTTTACTCTGATCTCCTATTTGTTCCTTGTTTTAGTTTCATTCCATGTGATTGTGATGCTAGACTACTAGGTCTTCATGTCTTTCGTAGTTCTTTACTTACACTGGTTCGTCTGTTTGTAGGTTACAATGATATGAAAAACGAGCTGACAGAGTATCTTAGAGGGTTTGTGGAACAAGGAAAGGTAATCTACAAGTAGAGAAGTAACCGACACTCACGTACGCAAAGACATAATACTGAAACGAAACTGATGGCTTTTGACATAGACTTTATTGAAATGGAATGGTTATGTTGAGGATGCTTTGCGGTATTTTGAAATTACCTACGTATTTGTAATAGGTATACTTGCATTTTGTAACAAAACCGACCTATGAATTTTGTATTAAGGGTTGCAGCATTTTGAACTGATCGTCGGTCTACGCAATTTATGACAACACCTCAACGCAAATTGTAATAATAAATATCAACTTGTCACAAAGATGAATAAAACGACGCGCTTGCCTGTCCGAAGGTGTACCGTGCCACCTTAAAGTGAACACTGTATTAAAGCTGAAGTATTTTTCTTGTTTCTCTTTTTCGTATCGGCAGGTTGTGAAAGAGGAAGACATCAGAAACTTTTTTGACACACTTCAGTCTCGTAAGAGACAACGAGTCGGGAGTGAAGATTCTATTCAGTACAGATGTCGCTAATAAAACAGCAAAACACATACTGCTATAATTGAATGAGGCGACACAGAATCACAGCATGCACAAGATTAAGAGTTAGTGATACACTTAGGCTTACCTCTCACTAAAATACCTTGTGAACAGGCAATACTGTCAACTGTTAATGAATTTTTCTGATAGTTTCAAACGTTACGTACAATAGCCGTAAGGTGACGTGTCTTATCGTGTAACGAAGTTGTAGTTTAAAGTACATCATGCTAAGTACTGAATTAAAATGGTTTTTGCGGCACCTTCAAGCAAGCGACTTGTTTTGGTTGCGTTGTAATTATCAGGTGCTGAGATTGTCCGATGAACCCCTATAATACCTCTCAACTCAAGAAGGAGAAAAACGAGTTCTGCAAGACTCCTAACAGGACCAACAGAGCCGGGGATGGAAAACGCCTTTTCCAGAACTTGATTTCATTTAGAAGCGGGAATATGTATCCAAAACCCCTGGCCTTGTAACTAAGATAAATTCACCTCGATATTAGACTATGGTTTTTAACAAAGAGCAACTGAAAAAGCGCCTGAACTTTACATGATCGGTTCCCCTAAAAAAAAAAGACAACAATCAAACAAACAAAACAAAACAAATTAAGCTTAGTTGTAAACAGTGTTTTGACGCAGGCATTGTTTCATTTCTTCAAACCTCAAAATCCTTACCCAGCTGAAGTTGTGTATAACTATGCTCACAGCCGTATATTTTTAGCCAGTGCGTAGTCCATTCAACACAATCAATTCGCATTTCACCTCGTGACACATACCTCGATAAAGAACATCGAGTAAACCGGGCAAGTGTCTATTTAAGACTGGTTCCGGTTTTATTGTTACAACGATGTTTTCCTAAGATAATGTCACTTTTGAAACCTAACTTACAGCTAAAAAGTCTGGTAACTAATATTTTCTTCTCGATGCGTAAGCGGACAAATTCTACAAATTCTAATCTGATTGGTTCCGAGAGCGGGCTGTATTTTCCCATCCAACCCGCTTCCAGCGGGCGGTATCATAACCCTTGCTTGTTGAGTTGCAGAGTACATCCCTAGTTTCGTTGCAAATTTTCATAAATACGTATTCTTTTGCCGGCTGGGAAGCATTTTTAAGTAAAAACTTCAATCACGACCTTAAAGCGAAATACAGCTTGTTAATTCTCTCCTCTCTCTCCATCTCTCTCTTCCGCAGATTGAAAGTAGGGCACTTTTGGTAATCTCAAGTCTCCCGAGCATATCTTATTCAGAAATGATTACTTCAGCGATTTTTGAGTTTGGCACGAATGTCTGTCGATTATTTTATAATCGTAGAAAATTTTATAGCGCAGCAGTATATTTTCAATTTTTTACAATTTTTAAGCGCGTTCAAGGGTACGTAAATGCCCTATGCCATAGAATCATAATTTTATTGCCCTGAAAGTCAAATTTTGCGTGGTTTGCTGGGTATCCATTTCATTTAGCATATTTTGGTCATTCCCTCACTTTCCACCAGTTAGCTCGTCCCAGAAAATGCGAACTAAAGAAATGACCTCAGAGTGTATGGTTCGTCATCGACCTGTCAGGTCTTCGAAACGACGTAAAATTGCAAAAAGCTACTTTTGAGCGGCGAAGCTTATTTCGTATCTCAAACACAGCTTTAGCGATTAAAACTATACCTGCGTGCAATACAGTGTTTTTGCTTTATATTGACCAAAAAAGTTTCAAGAAACTGTCTTTTCGTTTGTGAATTATGTCATTTCAAAAAACAGCGATTGATTTGGCATTTATGTAACGTGCCGCTTTACATAAATGCCCTTTTTCGAAACTAAACTTTAAATTTAAAAGTTTCTTATCTTTCGAAGCCCTTTGATAAACCTCACATCTTTAAACATAAACTGAAGAAGATGCTTTCATTGTAAGTGGATAGTTAAGGAAAATACATCTTCCTAGACGCCGTAAAGAAATGAATTCGTCCAATGTAGCCTACAAAGTGCGCTAATCGGATTAGCGCACCTTGTTAATGTTCATCGCATATCAAATCCCGATTACGCAGTTGGTTGCAAAGACTTCATCTTACCAGTAAACATGTTTTCAGCGGTAAAAAAAGCAAGATACTTTCTGATTTACATGAATCACTATTTACTCTTATGGGTCATACCCGAAGGGAGTAGGTAAGGGTGGGGTGGGAAATGGGGTTGTTGGCAAGAAGGCACATAATTCTGGAACAGCTTCACACAACTTTTAAAATGTATGGTGTAACGTGCTGGAAAATATTAAAATCACTTCCAAAAAGAAGCTTTTTGTTCCAGCCCTTGATCGCCTTGAGAGCCTGGAACAGGCCACTTGGAGGTAGAATACTTGCCTCTCGTAAAACTATCCGATTTTTAAAGCCAAATGGCTTATTCATCCGATCGGTTCACACTGATCGCCAAATTGAGTAATTAGATTGTTTTCATTTGTCTTTTTTAATCAACATTACAAACGGAAGGTTAATTTTTTTTCTTTCAACATAGAATATACTTTTCACAAAACGACTGAAGACCAAAATTCCGTTAATGACGTGATGATACAGTGGTAAAAAAGCGAGTTAGGAGAGTTTCGCGCTGCTACCTATTAAAGGGCTGTAAATCAAAAGTGATTCATCTCCTACGCCACTTGAGAGATGTCCACAAATGGACCAAGGAAAAGGCAAAGAAGGCCACCTCCACATTTGGATTAAGGAAAAGCTTCCAACCAAAACTCAATGAAAACCTGTACAGCAATCTCCTACGAAAACTGTACAGGAAAAGAAAAGAAAAGATTATCACCGACATCGAAGGTGTCCTATAAATGGATGCAATTCAGTTGATAAGTGCCTGGCAAATCATATTCAGCAGGTCCACAAAGAGATCAAAAAGGGTTCTCCTGTTGACAAACAGATATTAAGGGAAGCCCGCTCCCTCAAGACCTGGCAATCATCCCGCAAAGCACAAGGCCTCCCCAGTGTTAAAGGTGAAGGCTCATTCAGCAATTCAACAGAAGAGGGGAGTATGGGGGATAGCTCTGTTCAAGATCTGCCACATCTAGGCCAATACGAAGAAGAAGATGATGAGGTGCAGGAGGTTGAAAATGAAGAAACCGAAGAATTACAAGAAGAAGAGGAAAAGGCTAGATTTTTAAGTCATTTTGCTGGTCCCTCCTTCCACCATCCGCTGTTTGCAGCCACACAAAAATGGCAAAACAGCATTGCTCGCAGTTGCGCAAGATCCTTTCCATAATTTATCTAGTCGATCATAGTCATCTTTGTTTAACAAATCTCTGATACGTGACAAATTTCAAGCTGAGAAAAAGTACCAGCCACACACAGTAGAAACTAATTTATTAAGTCTGAGGAACTTATGCTCTTTCGTTCTCACAGAAAACCCGGAATGTATTCAAGTTGATCCAGCTATTGTGCAAAAAGTTGCAGAGAATGCGCGTCTATGGTTATCGTCCTACAGAAAGGACAGCAACCGCCGTCACTTACAAAAACAGAGTGAAGATCTTTAGAAGTTAGTTACGCCAGACATGGTGTCCATGTTTGAAAATAATGATTCAGCTTGGAAAGCAGTTGCTTACATGGGCCAATTTAGTGGAGCACACTCCCTACATATGAATCAGTCGATCTACACACTAGTAAGAGGTTTTATTTCAACAGAAATGACAATTGCAAATGCCCACCGATCTGGGGTTCTGGCCAATATGACAATTGGAGAGCTGGAGGAAGCCAAGGAGACCAAGCAACTTTATTCTCATATCTGAAAGTTTACGTCAGTGAAATGCGCCGTCAAGTTTCAAATTCAGGGAGCAAGTATATTGATGACAGGTCAATGCCTGTTTTTTTGTCATGGAACGGAGCAAAACTTGAATCTGGGCAACTTTCTACTGCTATCAATGCTGCTTGGAAGAAGGTAGGAATGGAAGGGCATGTTTCTTCCACAATATTTCGGAAGTCAACCGTCACAAAGGTTCATGGAGATCACGAAGAAATGAAAGGTTATCTAGCTGATCTTATGGGTCACAAGACAACAACTGCAGTATAAAGTTACGTTTAGTTTAAGATTACTGAAAGGTATTGTTAATTACTGAAAGGTATTGTTAATTACTGAAAGGCATAGTTAATTGAAAGGTATTCTGAGGTATCAAAGGAACAAAACGTAACCTCAGGCAAAGTTTAAAGATTGTTGAAAGGCACAGTAAACTGAAAACTATTCTGTGGTATCAAGGGACCAATAATCCAGTTAAATTGTGTTGCATGCATGCGCAGTTGTTTATAAGATCTAAAACAAACCGTTCTAACAGAAGATAGAGCAACTTTACTACACCGGTGCAAACTCTACGAGATGGGCACTGGCACAGTCAGACGCAGAAATTAATTGCTAGAAAGTACACAAAAAGGACAAACGAGTTCATACGTTCTTCTAAAAGTCTCAAAATGCTTGTCCTTGAAAAAGAGATGAATATTCACTGAAGATGTCAATTAAATGTTGGCATTTATTGTGACACCGGACCGACGATTTAATTGAAATCGTTATGCGTTGCAAGACGTGAATATGAGCAGTGTTCTCATTATTATTTATCGTTCTCGTGTTAAATTAAAGGATGTTTCCTTTATGTTCAATATTAGCTTGCTGAATGAGATATGGTTGAAATTGTTAATACACTTACATTTTTTGACGTTTAAGATCCACAACTTGAATTTTTCATTTAGAAATGGGCATCGTTTCATCAAAACATACCACCCAATCACACTTTAAACTAACATTCTTCTAAAACAAAGATGAATTTATTACAGGTGGTCATGCCAGGGCTCCTTTCAAATAAGGAGTTAATCATTATATTTTTGAGGTGTTGCTTAGCCAGATTTTTGTCTTCTTGGACTTACTTCATGCGCCTCCTTTTTATATCTTGTTTTACAAAGTTTTTTCTTAAGATACATGGATCTATTACAAGAGAACATTGATAAATACCGACTTGCTCTACACTCCAATTTAATTATCCTTTGATATACCCTCACAGAACAATGCAACAAATACTTCTTCTCATATTGTGTCACTTTATTTAATCTTACCCTCTTCGTATTAAGCTTACAAACCTACTTGTGAGCGGGACGACGTATCGAGTCATTTGATGTACTACCAGCTATCCAGCGAAATCCTCGAATGCAAGTTAACTTTGTTTCGTTCCGGTCATTTTGACCACGATATGGAAAAAATATAACAGTTATTGGTATGTTCTAAACATCCGAACACTTTAGGAAACATTGGAAATGCGGTGAAAGTACTTGTTAACAGCCACAGCATGAGGGAAAATGTGAGACTGACTGGAGATGTTTTCGAAGTTTTCGGAATTAAAGTTGTAGTCGGATCATATGGGTAATATATTTGCAATTTCTCGCGAGTGAAGGCTATTATTTAACTAAAAATTGATTCGTAAGTGCCTATCTGGGCTATCTGCACTGGCAGACAAAACCAGAATTCTCTTGACAAAATCAAAGGACAAATTGTGTCATGACGAATTTTTGTCTCGATTTTTGCATCCACTTAAAATTTCAAAACTGTCGCTTGATCTGCTCATGAAACCAGCTGGCATAGTTTGCCAATGGACTCAAACTCCAGTTTCCAGGATTCATCGTACGTCGTTTCAAAGTTTTAAAATTCACGAATTTCACGACAAAAGAAAGTTAATGCCTTCCAGGTAAATTTTAGTGAGTTCAATAACAAGCTGGTAGCACTGAGCTTTTTACGACAAATGGCGTTGAAAACTCTTTCACTGCCTCACATTCTCCTTTTTGCTTTGGATGCTAAAAAATACTTTTACTACATTTCCAGTGTCTTCTCAGGTGTTCTGATGTTTAGAACATACGAATAACTGTTTCATTTTTTCCAAATCAGGGCTGAAATACCCAAAGCCACTCCAATCTTTGCTTTCCATGAATCAAGTAAGCATTTTAAAAGATAAAATTCTCATTAAAATGTAAAATTCTTCAGTCCATTTTAATAACTTTCGATTCTAATTCGTTACTTTAACTAATTTTGGTTTCAATTTGTAGAACCCGCGAAACAAGGCCATATTGACAAGGAGAAAAGTTTGCATAATCACGTCACGCAATATATCAAGCTGGGTTTGTTCAATTGATTTTGATGGTCGCTGGCAAGTGTCGAGTTTGTCACTCAAAACTGTTGTGGTCCATCAGAACGTAACATCATTAATGACGGAAAAAAATTTGCAGAAAGGAGGGCTAGTTCATCGGGTTCCGTGTACTAAATCTCAGGAGAAACTGCAAGAATTGTTTCAGAGTGCATACGTGTTGTTTTGTAACTATAAACATTGTAACGTATTTTAACTTGTTTTTGAGTCCTTTTAAGCAACGCGATATGTCTGCTATGACCAGAGTGCCAAATTTTATTCTATAATTTTGATCTTCTTCACACTGTGCTTAGTTCATGACTTGATATTTCAGCGTAAATTACCGAGAAGGCGCCTTCCGATCACCTTTGTTTACATTGTAAGTCACGCAAGCGCGCAAGCGTTACGACCGATCACGTTTACTCTAAGTTTTAGGACAACTCGGCATCTATTCTCCATTCAGTTGCTATGAAAACCTAAAATCCTCAACGTAGAAGATAAACGAACGAAGTTTGAACGGTCAAAAGGATATCTTGGTCAATTTTCAGAATCGTGGAAATGATCTTTGACACGAGCGCAATTGAGAAAACACATGGATTTGCGTTGTTTTTAAGATGTTGGTAGATGGAAGCTAGAGATATACCCGCGGGTTTGAGACAATCCATGACCTCATTGGTGTATAGACTATGCACTGATATGCTTTTTCAGCCCGATTAACGCCTGCATTTTGAGAATTCTTTCGTACAAAGTAGTGAATTTTTGATATGCAAATTAAGGTCGAAGAGAAGGGTCTCCTCTGATCACGCTGGTATGAAAAACATTTCAGCTGAAGTTTCCATATTTTCAGTTTGTGAACTAACTGAATACATCTTGTAACTTGAAGCAAGACAGAATTACGTGAGCTGCACTGTTGCCGTCGCTGCGCGCTGGACAAAATCTTTGAAATTTACACTTTTGATCGCCGTCGCAAATTTCCCTTTCGTAAACGGTCGTTGCCATTTGAAACAGTCGATGCCATTTCTCGGAACGGTCGTTGCCATTGAAAACGGTTGATGCCATTTCTCATGACGGTCGATGCCATCGTAAAGGTCGATGCCAAGAAGGAACCGATATTTCCGACTCTCTCCGACGACATGCGTGACAATTAGAGCAATGCGTGACTAGCTTTCCCACAAACCATCGCGATTTTTATCAAATCAAAATGGCGGACAAACCCGACAATTTTCTCAAAGATCTAATATCTTCAGCTATAAAAGAAGTCGAATCGAAAAGAAAATCTTTTGAATCGACCCAAATTACAAAGGAGAGTTTTCTGGCTTCGCTTCCAGATGATTCATTTTACTACCTGTAGGCAATTTCAGGAAATGGAGAAAAGTTCAAAGTGCACTTTTTGACCGAAGATATAACGAAAGAATACCTGGAGCAATGGATATCCGAATATGAAGTGATAAACAGCATCTTAGTGAAGTTAAAGACAAAGAAGGCACCAACAAGCGGCTATGTGTTGCAAAACTACTATAGATGCCAACACAACACTCGCAACTGGAGTCCAAGTAAAGATCCACAGCAGAAATTGTACTTGAATCCATCTGCCAGAGTAAAGAACACCAATTGCCCCTTTCAGATGATAGTCAAAATAGACAGCGAGGGATGTTGTTCTGTGGACATAGAGTGGAACCACAACCATTCACTTGAAACTCTGGAGACCTCTAATTTCCGTGACCTTTTTCCTGAGTGCACAGAAAGGGTTTTGAAGCTGTTTGGGCATACACCAGCAACCGCAAGGCAACAGTACTTGAAAGAACTCAAAGAATC